ATTAAATCTGTACCAATCTAGGATACCAATCTGTTCCGAAATCACTACTTTTCTTCAACAATGTCTGCTAGCCTGCCCTCTCCTCTTCCTCAACAATCTCTGCTAGCCTGCCCTCTCCTCTTCCTCAACAATCTCTGCTAGCCTGCCCTATCCTCTTCCTCAACAATCTCTGCTAGCCTGCCCTCTCCTCTTCCTCAACAATCTCTGCTAGCCTGCCCTCTCCTCTTCCTCAACAATCTCTACTAGCCTGCCCTCTCCTCTTCCTCAACAATCTCTGCTAGCCTGCCCTCTCCTCTTCCTCAACAATCTCTGCTAGCCAGCCCTCTCCTCTTCCTCAACAATCTCTGCTAGCCTGTCCTATCCTCTTCCTCAACAATCTCTGCTAGCCTGCCCTATCCTCTTCCTCAGCAATCTCTGCTAGCCTGCCCTCTCCTCTTCCTCAACAATCTCTGCTAGCCTGCCCTCTCCTCTTCCTCAACAATCTCTGCTAGCCTGCCCTCTCCTCTTCCTCAACAATCTCTGCTAGCCCGCCCTCTCCTCTTCCTCAACAATCTCTGCTAGCCTGCCCTCTCCTCTTCCTCAACAATCTCTGCTAGCCTGCCCTCTCCTCTTCCTCAACAATCTCTGCTAGCCTGCCCTCTCCTCTTCCTCAACAATCTCTGCTAGACTGCCCTCTCCTTTTCCTATAGAAACATTGCTAGCCTGCCCAAAATCCCAATTTTTCCAGGTTCACTTTACCATTTCGTTACCCAAACCCAACACACTGTAATGCATAGTAACAAGGTAAACATGTTTTCCCCCATCTTCACCCCTTTAATTTCGGCTCGGGATCCCCATTCGTGGATCTCCGATTTGCGCGTGTGCACCGGGGAATAACATCCCATGCAAAACTCATTACAACAGGAGCCAGAAGAAAAAACCCCGAGAGTTCAAAAGTTAATTTGCGCCTGATTTCAGCGGGAGGGAAAAGGAGGCGCAGTTCGGAAAATCACTGCATCAAAAATCAAAAGATCGCCCAGGTACGGGAACGCTGAACGCGCGCGAAATTGGGGAGATTTTTCTGTGGTTTTAGAGGGTTGACGAGCATTGTTTCTGCCGAAAAATACGGAAGGGGGGCAGGCTAGCAAGGATCTTTGCGGAAAAAGCTAGTCTTGCATCGAGGGCTTGGGCATGCTAAAGCGATCGTTATCAGTTTCCAGCAGCAAAAAAAACGCTAAAAATCTAAAAAATCCGAGGTAGGCTAGCAGATACAATTTGGGAAATGGGCAAGCTAGCAGAGATCGTTTAGGAACCGGCAAGCAAGTAGATATCTTTGACGAATAACTAAAAATAAATGTTAGGACAAGCTAGGAGTCTTCTTTCTCTTTTTCTTAATAGCTTCAACTATTATTTTCGTAGCGGGCAGCCTAGCAGAGATCCTTGGGGATGCGAGCATGCCAGCAGAGATCCTTTGGGAAACGGGCAGGCTAGCAGAGATCATTTGAGGAATCTAGGAAGAACCCGGATGTCGGATTACCCCCTCAGGAACGCGAGAAATGTGGTTCTAGGTGATGCGATCAGTGATATCATCCCGGATCCCCGGGGAAACGCCAGTTTTTTAGGACCGAAAACGTCGCCCTGCGCGATATGACCCCCAAAACCAGAGAGAGCCACGTGCTTTTGACCGGCAAAGATCAAAATGTAATAAAAATTAAATACAAAAATTCAATCGGATTTTATTTACCACAAAAGTTTTAACTTGGAAAAATCAGTAAAATGAAAATAGGAAGAGAATCGGTACTGGGCTGTTAGCGAGAGGGCGGGGGACATTTGCGCGGAGAATCTGGTTTTCCTTTTTTGGGCCTATTTCGCCCGTTTAATGATATATAACGTATTTGATAGTGTTTTTAGTAGCTTTAATTGATAGAAAAATAAAAATATTTTTAACCGCAATTTTAAAATCGTGAGCTTTTCTGGCCATTTTTCATACTTTTGACCAAAATGTCAAAAAATTTCATATTTTTAAGTTTTTGATGGGCTTTTCATACCTCAAGCGTTGTAAAATGCTATAAAGGGTTTATATTTCGTTATACAGAGAATTACGAAATTATCGGAGAAAAATGCCCCCCTCCCCCTCCACTGAAAAAGCTGAAGAAGGCAAAAAGAAAAATATCATAATGATAGCTCGAGCTAGAACGTTTATTATTACTTATCCTACTATATATAAAAAAATAGTGTTTGTGTGTGTGTGTGTGATACTTTGCATGCAACTTCCGTCACCATGTCCGGAGGATATCTCGATAGGGAATGAATTTTATGGTATGTATGATACGTCATTAGGTGCGTAATGGCCTAGGGATGACTGCACGCACATCAGATTTATCAAAATTGCCTATTTTCGACATTAAATTCAGGTTTTTGTTAAAAAATCGGGGACCCTCTTTGTTATGCAACAATTAGCATGCTCCGGAAGTGGCAGCAGCCTATATAATGGTGTAGAAGGCGCTGTTTTCTTTTTTGATAGGAAATTCCCAGAATTATGCAAAGTGGAGTATATCATAAGATCAGACAGGGCTAGGGGTTGAAAGTCATGGAAACGGCACTTTCAACCCTGATCCCAAACATCTACCTTTTATATAATTTTGGGGTGTATCTCTGTGTGAGTGTGTGGATGTCACTTTCGAGGCCCGATTTGAGGCCTTCCGTTCCATAAATACCCTAATTCTCCGTCACTCGGGGGAATCGACCCTTCTGTTTCCGATGGCGTTGTCAGAATTACGATAAAATACAAGTTTACAAAGTTAAAGCCGGTTTTATTCATTTTTTGGGGGTTTCTGACGGCTAATTTGCATAATGTGAAAAAATACAAAAGTCCTCATTCTTGCAAGTTGCACGCGCGCGTGTGGTGGGGGGTCCGAGGACCGAGGCTGTCGCAAGTCAAATTTCTCATGCAAAGGCAGCATTCCAGCGCCCAAGGCCCGCGAAGCGGGTTTTGGGCGCTGGTTTATTATAAGTAAAATTTAAAATAACGTTAAATTTGTACAAAGCACTACGTTGCGCTCCTTTGTACGCACCTCTTTGCTTGTCTTCCCGGGATCCGAGAGCTTTCCGCGGATCTCTCCGTGTATCAAGCTACCTACTTTTAGTTTCAGAAAAATTTGTGTTTTTTAGCTAAAAACCTTTGTAAAGTTCTAAATATCTTTTTTTTCGGCTTCCGGGATATGCTCTCCAACTGCATCATACCGGGATGTGTTGAACCGATCCCCGACCTGTTGGGCCATTTGTGCGGCCCGTCACATAGGTATTTTGACAAGTTTTATCGCCAGGTTTTGAACTTTCAGTCTATCGACCGCCGAGGCAAGATTCATGATCGAGCAATATTGCGCCGCCGGATTTGCGGGAATTGTGGGTTTTGCTTTTGCCTTGATGTGGTACTTGCTTTGAAACTTGGAAATTTGGAAGAAGAATGGTTTTCTTTTTAAATCGAGAAACGTGTAGCAGGCTTTTCTTTGGGTAAGATAACGTCAGCCGGTTTTATACTTTTCCAGTTTTTTCTATAGTTGCTAGTTATTCCAATTGTCAGAAAAAATATGCTGAAACAACAATATAAAAACATGACTTTTAAAAAACTGTGAAAAAAACTTAACGCGAAACTTGCTGGAAAAAATGTGATTGTTTTTATAGGGTTTTTTCTATTACTTTTTCGTAAGTATATAAGGATAAGGTACTTTAAAGCTTTATTTTGTTTCGAAAGAACCTTTTTAATTCTAATTCGTTTTAACCTATTACTTTTCAGCAAAAGATCCTCGAAAACAACAATCGTCGCCCGTTCCGGCGGGACGAACGACTGCCCAGAGTCCTCCTGATCCGGCTGGCCGATGAGGGCCAAATGAAGGTTTATTGCCCAGTTTTGCTGTTTTTATTTGCTTTAGAAATTTATATACTACTTTCGCAACCTCACCGGGCTTGAGTGTGATGTGGAGAACAGCCTGTTGTGGCGCAGCGCCAGTGGCCGCACATTTCTGCTGGTAATCATTGTAAAAACACTTCCAAAAACGAATTTAGCTCCAAAAGTTTGAAGTCGGTCGCCATCTCTACCCATATCGGTCAACGACCCGCTGCGGCTCGACGCCGAGGGCCCGTTTATTCGCGGTACTTTTTGGATTTGACCGCACAGGCTAATTCAGACCTTCAGCTTTATAGAAAAGAAGAATTTTGTTTTTATTGAAAATTGTTTTTTTTGGGTCTTCCGCGTTATCGGGGGGGGGACTTTTTTTTACAAAAATGGTAATGTCTAATACCTTCTAGGAGTGTTTTAATAGCGTTTTAGTAACAAATAACTATATTTCAACTAGAATAGAAAAACCTTTAAAAAGTTCTCAAAAGGGTGAAATTATTGTCACAAACTGGCCATTTTTGGTCGAAACATTCATATTTTTAAATAAAAATTTGTAAAGTTGGCACGTTCAGGAATAGTAAAAAAGCGTTTAGAAACGCTTCCGCTTGTTATATTGGAAAAATTAGGTCCTGAATCATTTCATCTCAATCTCCTCTTTCCAGAAATCCTGAAGTTTGTCGAGCACTACGAAGACGTGTGGGGCATGGTAAAGCCGTCTTCAAGACGAGATTGTATTTTCCGTTTTAGATCCACCACTTGCGCGCCCCAGTCTGATACCCCATTGGTCGAATCCGGGTGGGCGCTGGTCCCAAAAAGGGGTCCGGGCGCTGGTCTAAGGGCTAGTATTAGCAAAATTTTTTTCGGCGCTTATGCGCCGTTTATTATATAAAAGCTTTTTTACAGAAGTCCGCAGTTTCGTCTCTGATGTCCTACGTAAGTCAAAAACTTTTTTGAAGCCAACTGACTCGGAGCGAACCGATAAAAATAAATCTTCAAAGAAAAATTGCAGGCGACGATTAACGCGAAGGAAACTGAAAGAAGCCGAAGAAGAAGCTGATGAAGTCTCTAAAATGTATTCCTTTCTTATCCTCTCAAGATCATCCGTATGCGCTTACCTATCTATGACCTTTAAAGCTTCCTTAATGTGTATAGTACTGTAAAGTTGTAAAAACCCCGAATTTGATATCCAAAGATAAAAACCTCAAAGATAACTGAAACCATTGCCGGTGATAATTTTGAAACCAGAATTTAGCCTTCCTAACGAAAAACTTATTTTTTGATCATATCACCCAAAAAATTGTTCCATCAAAAACTCAATTTTATATGGGATTTGGGGCCATTAGTAGGCTATCTCTGCCGAATCGGAAGCGATCGACTTCAAATGTTGACTGATGGTGAGGAACGTCATCAGCAAGCTAGAATAAATCTGGCGACTCGATTCGGTGCATTTGGGACCACTTTGGGACCAGCGACGGATGTCGCAGGGACAAAATCGGCTCGACCAATGGTGTCGCTGGTCCCATGCTCCGCGTAGAGGAGCCGGATCCGGACGTACGATACGTCATTCGAAAGAGCACATCCTACTCTATCATCGGCATAAAGGAAAAATTTTTAAAAAATTACTCCCCCCTGTTAAGAGAAAAACTCAGAATTTGGCCGATTTTCAAAATCCAAAAAAAGTGACAGTCGCTGGTCCCAGGCTCGAAGCAGACGCAAGCAATCTAAATATTCTTTTCAGCATACGGTAGCCCACCCTTTAGGCTACCTCCATTCCAATTAAAACCAATCTAGCTGATATTTCAGGGGACCAAAACCGGGAAAAACCTTGATTGGTCGGCTGATTGGTCGATTTGGCGCTGGTCCCGAAAAACCGTCTTAAACCGATCCAAAAATTCTGATATTTTTTTCCTGGACATTAGTAGGCCCCTGATCTACCATTAGGCCAAGTTTGAAGTGAATCGGTCATTGGAATCAAGATTGAGTTTTGATGGAACAATTTTTAGGGTGATATGATTAAAAAATAAGTTTTCGTTAGGAAGGCTAAATTCTAGTTTCAAAATTATCACCGGCAATGGTTTCAGTTATCTTTGAGGTTTTATCTTTGGATATCAAATTCAGGGTTTTTACAACTTTACAGTACTATACACATTAAGGAAGCTTTAGAGGTCATAGATAGGTAAGGCATGCGGATGGGCTGAGAGGACAGAAAGGAATACGTTCAAGAGACTTCATCAGCTTCTTCTTCGGCTTCTTTCCAGTTTCCTTCGCGTTAATGTACGCCTGCGCAATTTTTCTTCGGTATCTTTATCGGTTCGCTCAGTCGGTTGGCTTCAAAAGTTTTTGACCTACGTAGGACATCGAAACGAAAATCACAGCATACACGGATACCATCGATAATTTTTGACAACCGAAAAATCCCACAATTATCCCAGCGAATTTTCTTTAAAAAAATCGCGCCGCTCCGCCGCTGGTCCTAAACCCAGTCTTATCCCTCCGGGCGCTGGTCCCAATGGTCGCTATCCCTATGTTTCCCAGACTGT